AAAGAGGCCTGCAAAAGGCCCCCCAAGAGGCCCCAAGAGGCTCCCAAGAGACATCCAAGTGGGAAGCACACCAGGAGGCCCCGGGAACCATCCGAAGAGACCACGGCATGCATCTGACACGCCTCGGACCCACGACCCAGACACGGTGGCAGGATGGGCCGACAACGTCCAAGAGCTTCTGAAGAGGATCCCGAGAGAGCCTCCGGACAGCCCAGAGAGTTCCCCACGAGCACCCTGGGAGAGTCCAAGAAACCCCCAAGAAGGCCCATAGGCCCTCTGAGAAGCCGGGAGGCGCGGTACCGGGCAGATGTCAAGGGATGTGTAGGACCCCCGGTTAGGAGTTCCTCTTTGAAACATGATCGACCCACGAACCCGGAAAGGAATACAGAAACGTAAGGCATGGCAACGTTTCAAAGACATTTGATTGGGCGACGGGCAAATGCAGTGCTGAATGTATAGATTTTGATGTATTGTGCCGAGGGTTGTGCTGTGCTGGCCGTGCTGAACTGCGATGTGCCATGCCGCGATTGTGCTCTATATAGCGTTGTAGATCGAGTCCTCCCTGGCGTCCAAGTCCTGACCGAATTGATCTGGATCTTAAGCTCGAGCTGCCTGAGCAGATGGTAGCTGTCCCAGAACTAATCGACAGAGGGTACATGCCAGGAGGACGCGACGCGGAACGTCCCAAGGGACGCGCCAGGCGACGTGCCAGGAGACGTGCCATGGGCACGCACCGCGGGACGTGCCAAGGGGACGCGCTACGGAACGTGCCAATGGACGTGCCGCGGGACGTGCCAGGGGACGCGCCGCGCGACGTGCCAGGTGGATTCGCCAAGGAACGCGCCAAAGAACGTGCCAGGATGCAATGTTGAATGTATCGATCTTGATGTACCGTGCCGACGGCTGCGCTGTGCTGGCCGTGCTGAACTGCGATGTGACATGCCGCGATTGTGCTCTATATAGCGTTGTGAATCGAGTCCTCTTTGCATCCGAGTCCTGACCGAACTGATCTGGATCGTAAGCTCGAGCCGCCTGAGCAGATGGTAGCTGCCCCAGAACTAATCGACAGGGGGGCATGCCAGGAGGACGCGCCGCGGAACGTCCCAAGGGACGCGCCAGGCGACGTGCCAGGAGACGTGCCATGGGCACGCACCGCGGGACGTGCCAAGGGGACGCGCTACGGAACGTGCCAATGGACGTGCACCGCGCGACGTGCCAGGGGGACTCGCCACGGGACGCTCCGCGGAACGTGCCAGGCAACATGCCAAGCTGCAATGCTCAAGGTATCGATGTTGATGTACCGTGCCGACAGCTGTGCTGTGCCTGGGCGACCTGGACACGTGAAAACACGCGTTTCGCTCAAGACGTTCTCAGCACATCCTCACGCTAGACATCCGCCTGGGCAACCTGGACACGTGCAAACAAGCGTCTCGATCGAGACTTCCTCGACACATCCTCATGCTAGACATCCGCCTGGGCGACCTGGACACGTGAAAACAAGCCTCTGGTTCGAGAAATCCTCAACAAATCCTCATGCTAGACATCTGTCTGGGCAACCTAGAGGCGTGAAACCAAGCGTCTCGCTCGAGACATCCTCAAGACCTGGGCACGTGAAAACAAGCATTTCACTTGAGAGATCCTCTGACTTCAGGTCCCCAGGAGAGGACAATCTTTAACACAAAACAAGCGTTTCGCTAGAGACATCCTCAACAAATTCTGAAAAACAAGCGTTTCGCTAGGAACATCCTCAAAAATAATTCCGCCGGCCCACCTCGACCTAGATATTTATCAGTGAATAATTCCGCCGGCCCACCTCAAGTCAGGTCCGGGGGTAACCGGCTAAAAGAGAACACTAGGCCTACGCCCTTTCCGGGAAAAAGGGAACTCTTGGAATTCCTTCTTTCTTTCAAAATCTTCGATCTCTGAGGGTTGGAAGCGGGAAACGTGAGAAGGCGAAAAACGTAGACAATTACGCTACCGAGGAACCCCACATACTTAATTATAATCGCTTCGCTCATGCCGCCGGCCCTGGAGCCCTCTTTAGGGCCTCTTGGGGGCCTCTTGGGGACCTCTTGGGAGTCTCTTGGGGCTCCTTGGCGGCGTTTTGGAGGCCCCCAGGGCCTCTTGGGGGGCTCTTGGGGGTAGTCGATTGCGGCTCCCCCCTCGGAGGCCACGATCCTCGTGAGGGGTGTCGAAAAATACCCTCCCCTGGAGTGGTCTGGTGGCTTCTCCCGGGCTTCTCTCGGGACCTTGCCGGGGTACTTTTCGTCCGGGGGCCCCCAGGGGCCGCTCCGCGCGCGCGAACTAGAAATATTGTTAACAAGTTACCGGAGATCTTAGCACGCCTCTGGCCCGTTGGGCCGGCGAATTCAAATCTTATGTGTTTGCGTGCGTGAGGGACCACCTCCTGCGCACCGTCTATGGTGTCGAGGAAGGGCCACGCCTGCTATGCCCTGGACGACCGTCGTGCATAGCGGCCGCGCTCAGGGACCACCCCCTGCGCACCCCCTATGGTGTCAAGAAAATGCCACGCCTGCTATACCCTGCACGACCGTCTCGGATAGCGGCCGCGGTGAGGGACCACCCCCTGCGCACGCCCTATGGTGTCGAGAAAGTGCCACGCCTGCTATGCCTGGACGACCGTCGTGCATAGCGGCCGAGCTCAGGGACCACCCCTCTGCGCACCCCTTCTGGTGTCGAGACAGTGCCACGCCTGCTGTGCCTGGACGACCGTCGTGCATAGCAGCCGAGCTCAGGGACCACCCCCTGCACACCCCCTGTCGAGAAAGTGCCACGCCTGCTATGCCTGGACGACCGTCGTGCATAGCGGCCGAGCTCAGGGACCACCCCCTGCGCACCCCCTGTGGTGTCGAGAAAGTGCCACGCCTGCTGTGCCTGGACGACCGTCGTGCATAGCGGCCGCGCTCAGGGACCACCCCCTGCGCACCCCCTGTGGTGTCGAGAAAGTGCCACGCCTGCTGTGCCTGGACGACCGTCGTGCATAGCGCCGAGCTCAGGGACCACCCCCTGCGCACCCCCTTGTGGTGTCGAGAAAGTGCCACGCCTGCTATGCCTGGACGACCGTCGTGCATAGCGGCCGAGCTCAGGGACCACCCCCTGCGCACCCCCTGTGGTGTCGAGAAAGTGCCACGCCTGCTGTGCCTGGACGACCGTCGTGCATAGCGGCCGAGGGACCACCCCCTGTGCACCCCTGTGGTGTCGAGAAAGTGCCAAGCCTGCTGTGCCTGGACGACCGTCGTGCATAGCGGCCGCGCTCAGGGACCACCCCTCTGCGCACCCCCTGTGGTGTCGAGAAAGTGCCACGCCTGCTGTGCCTGGACGACCGTCGTGCATAGCAGCCGAGCTCAAGGACCACCCCCTGCGCACCCCCTGTGGTGTCGAGAAAGTTTCACGCCTGCTATGCTTGGACGACCGTCGTGCATAGCGGCCGCGCTCAGGGACCACCCCCTGCGCACCCCCTGTGGTGTCGAGAAAGTGCCACGCCTGCTGTGCCTGGACGACCGTCGCGCATAGCAGCCGAGCTCAGGGACCACCCCCTGCGCACCCTCTCTGGTGTCGAGAAAGTGCCATGCCTGCTGTGCCTGGACGACCGTCTGTGCTGTGCTGTGCTAGTCTGTGCTGTGCTGTGCTCTGCCTAGCTGTGCTGTGCTGTGCTGAGCTGAGCGTGGGCGGCGTGTGTCTCAATGAGGGTGATGTATGATGCGTGTACGGCTGTATGTGGACGTGCGTAATGAGGGTGATGTATGATGCGTGTACGGCTGTATGTGGACGTGCGTATCATTTGGATGCCAGTATGTGGCGCATACGTCTTGCATGTCCGTGTGCAAGCGAGAAGGAGAAGGGGAGGGGGGAGGTGAGACGCGGGTGCGGCGCGGCAGGGAAGAAAACCATAACCCCACGAAACATGTGGGGAAAAAACCATGGAAATTAACGATTTTACCCTCTTCGAGCTCTCTCGGGACAGCTCTCGTAGCTCTCTTGGGCTGTTTTTGGAGCCTCGTCGGAGTTTTTTGGGGTCTCTCAGGGATCGGGGGGGGTGTTGGGGGCCTCTGGGGGGTCCCGGAGGCCTCTCGGACGTCTCTGGAAGTTTCCTGCTCCCGCTTTTGGACCCGTCTTCGGTCTGTTCTGGGGTGGTCTAGGGCTGTCCTGGGCTCTTCGGCAGTCTTGGAGCCTTCTTGGCCCGTCTTGGGGCCGTCCTAGGTCTCTTGGGTGGTTTTGGGAGCCTCTTCGGCGCTCCTGGAACATTGGAAGCTCGAAAACGCGAGAAGCCCCCCAAAAAAAACGATTTGGGCTTCTTCGGGCCATCCCAGGACGCCTCTCGGACCTCTCTTGGGGTCTCTTGGAGGCCGCTTGGGAGCCTCGAGAGCCGTCGGAAGGCTGACTTGGGCTGCTTGGGAGCGTCTTGGACTATCCTTTCGCATTCTGGGGGTTCCTGGGAGGCGTCTTGGGCCCTCCTGGGGCGCTGTGGAGGCTCCCCAGAAAGGCTGGGGGAGCGGTACCGGGAGCGTCCCCAAGATGTCACGGGAAGGTGTGGGACCCAGGGCCGGGGGGGTGGGCGGTATGCGAAGAGGGAAGTTGCGGGCGGGCAGGAAGATGACAAGGACCAGAGCAAGCCTAACGAACATCAGCGATGCTACGGCAGACTCCCATCTCGGGGGTAGGGGAAGCGACATCACCACCACCACCAACAGGGAGCCCACCTCCAGCCGAGAGGTCGACGATATCTCCCCGATTTCGGGGTAGGAAAATCTCGACAGAGGGGTTGGAGGTGACCGCACCACCAAGGGACCCTCCACTGGCTGTTCGCGTTGGGGCTTCCTGGTGGTGATGGTGCGCTCTCCTCTGTGCGTACCCATCCAAACAAGGCCCATGCATCAGGAGTCTCCGTAGCCATCTACTGATTGGATCGCGCAAAGTGGTTTCCATATTGCGCAACCATCTGCTCACCAGGTATTTACCGGATCGCATACTTTGTCGGGATGGCGGCGAGTCGGAAGGCATCATTGGCCCTATGCATGGTGGCGCTTATTGCCCAGGGTGTGCCCACCGTCACTTCCGTGAAGGTGTCGCCGCACCGCATCGATCGCGGCATCCACAAAGGCAATACTTCGCGCACGAGTGCCAATGCGCAAGCCGTTTCCAACACCGCGGCAAGCAGCGATTTCGGGCCATACGACCTCGTGAATGAGAACTACCAGACGCTGGCATTGACCTCCCTTACGTCTCAGGCGCAGTCGGATATACAGCTGGGTTGCGGCGCGGGCGCAGCGTTCTTAGATACCGATATTTCTTTCCGGATTCAGCGGGATGACTCGTCTCATTCGTCCAGTGTAACGTATATGCGCCGTAGCAACGGTCAAGTTGAGACATTTACGTTCATAGGTGGCTACGCGGACCACACGCGCCTCGAGTACAATAGAGGGATCCTCCAGTGCATCTGCAGCGGTGTCAGTGCCAATGCGTGCCGGTGCCAATCTTTGGGAGTTGAGTCGTCGACGGAAGTCCTGCTGCTCAGCATTGACTTCAATCTTCGGAGTGGTTCGGTCTGGTCTGGCCAGTGGTTTCGCAATTAATATACGTTCTTTGTGAGCTACTTCCACGCTGGTTGCCCGACGCCACTTCCGACCCCGACCCCGACGCCCGCGCCGACAGCAGCCCCGACCCTAGCACCGACCGCAGCGCCGACGCCAGCCCCGACCGCAACGCCGGCTCCTACGCCCGCGCCAGCACCGACCCGACACCGGGCCCGACGCCCAGTCCGACGCCGAGCCCGACACCCAACCCGACCTTCAGCCCGACGCCCAGCCCGACGCCCAGCCTGGGGGTTTCGGCGATCGGCGATCCGCACTTCGTCAACACGTACGGCCAGAAGTTCGACCTTTTTCACGCTGGGCACCACACGCTGATCAACATACCCAGGTGGGCGCAGCAGCGGACCAATTTCCTCGTGCAGGCGATGGCGAGTCGTGCCAGAGCGGGGTGCGCTGATTTGTATGTCACGGAGATCAACATCAGCGGCACGCGGACTCAGCGTCACAAGGCGGCGGATCTGCGCTGGGTCGCCGGTGTCGCTAAGCTGGGCAAGGCGAAGTGGATGAAGCTTCACCGCGAGATCAGCGTCAAGATCGTCCATGGCCACACCGTGCACAACACGAGATATCTCAACATTCTCGTGAAGGGGCTGGGCAAGACAAAAGCGCCAGTCGGCGGCCTCCTCGGGGAGGACGACCACACAGCGGCCGCCACGCCAGACAAGGGATGCAATAAGCGTGTGACGCTCTGAACCAGGCAGGCTGGCAGTCTTGGGGTGTTTCTCGCACATCGAGACGCCCAGGCTACACGCGCCGCGGGGAGCTTCTTTCAATAGCCAGCACCCGCTCGGCGTGGCACGGAGACGGGGGAACTGCTCGGAAGCTTATAGAACCCAGAGGGTAGGCCTACCCTAGGACTACCCCCTAGGCCTACCCCTAGGCCTACCCCGTCCTACCCCTAGGCCTACCCCCTAGGCCTACCCCCAGGCCTACCCCCTAGGCCTACCCTAGGCCTACCCCTAGGCCTTCACTCTATCCGCCCGACCCGTCCCGACCCGTTATCGTTCTCGCGTGTCTTTTCGCGAATGCATCATACTGTAATGTCCCGCTCGCCCGACCCGACCCGCCCGTTAGGATCCGACCGACCCGGCAATACCCGCCCATTAGGGTCCGTCCGTCCCGACACGACTCGACCCGTGAGGGCTCTCGCGTGCCCACTCTTTGATGCATCATATTTTAATGGCCCGCCCGCCCGCCCCGAGCCGCCCGTTAGGGTCCGCCCGACACGGCACTACCCGCTTGTTAGGGTTCTCGCGTGTCCCCTCAGTGCTGCAGCATATTTTAACAACCAGCCCGCTCGACCCGACTCGTTCGTTAGGGTCCCGCCGATTGGACCCGACCCGCCCATTAGGGTCCGCCCGTCCCGTCCCGACACGACCCGGTGTGGTTCTCGCGTGTCCATTCGATGAGGCATCGTACTTTAATGTCCCGTCCGCCCGACCCGACCCGCCCGTTAGGGTTCGACCCGTCCCGACCCGACCCGCCCGTTAGGGTCCGCCCGACCCGACCCGACCCGCCCGTTAGGGTCCGCCCGACACGACCCGTCCCGACCCGATCCGTTAGGGTTCTCGCGTGTCCACTCGCACATGCATCATATTTTAATTGCCCGCCGACCCGAGCCGATCCGCCCGTTAGGGTCCGACCCGATCCGACCCGACCCGCCCGTTAGGGCCTGTCCGACCCGTCCCATCCCGACCCGACCCGCTAGGGTTCTCGCGTGTCGACTCGCACATGCATCATACGTGAATGTCCCGCCGACCCGCCCCAACCCGGTTGTCAGGGTCCGGCCGGACCCGACCAGATCCGCCCGATTGGTTCCGCCTGACCCGACCCGACCCGACCCGACTTGTTAGGGTTCTCGCGTGTCCATTCGCACATGCATCCTACTTTAATGTCCCGCCCGGCCGATCCGAGCCGCCCGTTAGGGTCCGACCCGACCCGACCCGACCCGCCCGTTAGGGTCCGCCCGACACGTCCCGTCCCGACCCGACCCGTTTGGGTTCTCGCGTGTCTTTTCGCACATGCATCACAAGTTGATGTCCCGCCCGACCGACCCGACCCGCCCGTTAGGGTACGACCCGACACGACCCGACCCGCCCGTTAGGATCCGCCCGACCCGTCCCGACCCGACCCGCTAGGGTTCTCGCGTGTCCACTCGATGATGCATCATACTTTAATGTCCCGTCCGCCCGACCCCGACCCGCCCGTTAGGGTCCGACCCGACCCGACCCGACCCGCCCGTCAGGGTCCGACCCGTCCCGACCCGACCCGCCCGTTAGGGTCCGCCCGACTCGTCCCGTCCCGACCCGACCCGTGAGGGTTCTCGCGTGTCCTTCCGCACATGCATCATATTTTAGTGTCCCGCCCGCTCGACCCGACCCGTGAGGGTTCTCGCGTGTCCATTCGCACATGCGTCCTACTTGAATGTCCCGCCGCCCCGACCCGACCCGCCCGTTAGGGTCCGACCCGTCCCAGCCCTTTTCTCTGCATTCTTCCTCCTCCTCGTCATCCTCATTTCTCATCCTCTTTCCTCCTCATCCTCATACTTCTCCCTTCTCTCCCCTGTTTATCCTCTTCTCTCCTCCCTCGCACTGTTTCTCCTGACTTACTTATTTCACTCTTCCTCCCTACTCACTCCTCACTCTACCTCATCCCCCATCATCCTTAGTTATCATGTTCATGTTTCCTCATCTCACCCGCTCATTTCTCTCTGCTGCTCCTCGCTTATCCCCCTCGCTCCTCCTCCGCCCTTCTTCTCCTCACTTCTCCTTTCACTCCTCCTCTATATTCACTCCTCACTCTACCTCTGCACTTTTCTTCCTCATCATCCTCAGTCCTCATTGTCACTCTCCCCTCCCCTCGTGAAGCGGAGGAGTGAATCGATCCCCACTGCCAATTTTTCTATGTGCGTGAGGAGGGCTCCCGGGAGTTCCTGATCACACCCAGGCTATGACGCTTTTGGGGGGGCATTTCCTAGGCCTACCTTGAGCCTGACCCCCTAGGCCTACCCTAGGCTTACCCCTAGGCCTACCCCCTAGGCCTGCCCTAGGCCTACCCCCAAGCCTTGCACCTAGGCCTGTGCTAGGTCTCTACCTAGGCCTACCCCCTAGGCCTACCCCAAGACCTACCCCCTAGGCCTACCCCTAGGCCTTCCCCTAGGCTTACCCCATCGGCCTACTCTAGGCCTACCCCTAGGGCTTCCCCATAGGCCTACCCTAGGCCTACCACTATGCCTTGGGTAGGGCCTACCCTAGGCGACACTAGGGCCTTGGGTAGGGCCTACCCTAGGCTACCCTAGGGCCCTGGGTAGGGCCTACCCTAGGCTACCCTAGTGCCTTGGGTAGGGCCTAGGGTAGGCTGCTCCCCCCGGGTTCTATATCCTCGGAAGAAGCAGCCGCTTTGCACCGCCAGTGTCAGGGACGTTCAGAAGTATAGGAGCAGAAAAGCAGAAGAGCAGAACATTGATACCAAAATTGCAAGTGTTGCTCAAGCCGTTTGGGCTCACATAATTTGTCTTTGGTTATATCCATATGAGAGATTCTCGTTTGTTGCTGGCATAATGGTTGTGTTGTGGAGTGTTCCCAGGTCGCCTGGCCTGTGCCGGGGGCTTCATTGCAGTAAGACCGAATGCGGCCCGAGGGCCTTGCGCGTCGAAACATTCTCGTCATTCTGAGCTGGTCTGGCTGGTTGCGCTTACGACATTCTCCCAAATCCGTGAACACGGGTGGCCGGAATTGACATTCCCGTTTCGCCTAATACAGTTTCGCAGTTGGGCGTTCGGTTGCCGTGCGAGAGGTAGCCAAGGCATTTCGCTTGAAGCATTGACGCGATTATTGGGTTCGGAGAAGCCGTGGCCTCAGGTGGCCCCGCCCGTATCGCTTGAGACATTCTCGCGATTCTGGGCTTGGAGATGCCGCATGCGAGAGGTCTGGCCACTTTCACTAGAGTCAACTTCGCAACTCTAGGCGCAAATATGCCACGTGTGAAGTGGTTTAACCAGTTTCGCAGGAACCATCCTCGAGTTTTGAGAAACTGCTGAAAAGGAGTGCGGACAAAGAAAGAGCGCCGAGAGAAGGAGAAGGAGGAGGAGGAGGAGCGGAGGAGAAATATAGAGAAAAGTTTCTCTGTCCTCGCCCGCATCCTCGCATCTTGTCCTGACCTGAGCATGGACGTTTGAGGCGCTCGCTCCTTGTTGTGTCCCAACAGCGCAGCGCTGCTCCATCCTTTTGGCTTACGGGTCTCAGTGGACCCGTGCCACTATGTAAAGAACCCTTGGAACAGAGTAGGCGTGACACGCGAGACATGTGGAGCACTTGCGGCTCATGGTGGAGAACAAGGAGGAAGAGGATGAGGAGGAGGAGGAGGAGGAAGAGGAGGAGGCGGAGGAGGAGGAGGAGGAGGAGCGGAGGAGAAATATAGAGAAAACTTGCTCTGTCCTCGCCCGCATCCTCGCATCTTGTCCTGACCTGAGCATGGACGTTTGAGGCGCTCGCTGCGTGTTGTGCCCCAGCAGCGCAGCGCTGCTCCATCCTTTTGGCTTACGTTTCTCCGTGGACCCGTGCCACTACATATATAGAACCCTTGAAACAGAGTAGGCTTGGCACGCGAGACAAGTGGAGCATTTGCGGCTCATGGTGGAGAACAAGGAGGAGGAGGAGGAGGAGGAGGAGGAGGAGGAGAAGGAGGAGGAGGAGGAGGAGCGGAGGAGCGGAGGAGGAGCGGATCGTGCGAGCAGTGCTCCCAGCGCGACCCTTGGCGAGCTACGGGCCCTCGATCGAGCAGCTGCATGATGCAGCCCTCGAGCGAACGGCTCTGCGCTGGGGCAAAAAAGGAGAGGCACGCGATCAGCGGCAGATGGCAACATGCCATTTGATTTTTCCTGTTCGCCGAGCCCCGTGCTCGCATTACAGGTGTTGACTCTTCGCGTACCCCCACCAGCCCGCGCAACAACGATGCCCAAGCGAGCTTGATCCTGATCGCAGAAGTGGGGTTGTACTCATATGAACGAGCGGCTGAGGAAGCCGTTGGAATTACCCAAAGAGGGGCATGATGGAAGAAGTGGGTGCGGACGAGTAGGAGAAGATTCGGCGGTCCCTGGGTCATCTTGGAGCGTCTTGGGTGTACCGGAGGAGCCTCTTGGGGGCATCTTTGGGTTCTTTGGGGGGCCTTTTGGACACCATTATGGGGGTTCTTGGGTGCCTGTCTGGGCCCGCTTGGGAGCCTTTGGGGCTGTGACTAAGATTGTTTCACGGTCCCTGATTACGGGGATTCTTCCAAGGGCCCTCATTTTAGGAGGTGTCCATGTGTATTTTCAGAGCCGCGTTTTCCTCGCCAGCACTGTTAGCTCGTTTATGCGATTGTTTGGGATCCCATCCTTGTCTTGTCTTCGCTCCCAGAATGCGAAAGGATGGTCCAAGACGCTCCCAAGCAGCCCAAGTCAGCCTTCCGACGGCTCTCGAGGCTCGCAGATGGCCTCCAAGAGACCTCAAGAGAGGTCCCAGGGGCGTCCTGGGACGGCCCGAAGAGGCCAACATCGTCGATTTCCATTTTGGTTGTTCCCAACCATCCTGTGGTGTTGGGTCCTCGTTTTGAACAGACAGCGCCCGCGTCCTTCCTCCCGCTGCCCCCCCTCCCTCTCCCCATCATCAGAATCCCCATCATCAGCATCGCCGTCACCATCATCATCGTCATC